TTGTTCAGAATCCCAGCCTTATCTTTCTTCTCACTCTGTGCACTTGCCCCAGTGGTAGCATGTATACCTGTGAATTCAGTTCCCATCCATATGTATATGACTCCTAATCCATATCCTGTCGTTCATACCACTCTCCTGAGCACTAGGTCTGTCTATTTAACTCACTACTGAACAACTACACAAGTATCTGAACTCACCATGCACAAAGCTGAGCTCATAACCTTCCACTAGGAACTTCCTTCTGTATTTTCCATTGCATTTGGTAACAACACCGTCCCTACTAATCTCCGATTGGAAACCTGGGAATTACATTATAATTATAGCTGCTGCTTATGAACACTTACTATTGGAGAGTCACTGTGCTAAGTGCTTTGCATAGCTTTTTGCATTTAAGCATCATAAGAAACATAAATTGTAGGCATTAGTGTCTCCTTTCCATGAATGCAGAAGCAGAAGGCCAAGGTGAGTAAGTACTAGCCCAAAGTCCTACACTTGAATGGCAGAGATGGTATTTAAACTCAGTTCACTTTGGCTCCACAGCCCATGCTCTTTAACATTAAGTCACACAGAAAAGCCATATACACAGGACCCACAGACATGTTTTAGTTGCTAGAAAAATAATTTATAAACACTTTAAAATAGACAAAGTTCATGTAAGAAACTGGATTTCAGATTTTTCTTGAAAATTCAGAAGATCTGGTAACTGGCCCCACATTTCAAATTAGCTGCAGGTGATGGCAGCCATCCTTTTTGGAAAGGCATGCTTTCGGCAGTTTGCCGCAGTCCCTGACGCTCCCTATTGCCCCACACCTGGCCCGCTCTCCTTATCAACATTATCTACCTGACTACGCCGGCATTTGAATTTTTGACTCCTTTGTGTTGTTTCCCTGGGTTCTGTCCCTTTCATTCTTCTACGGTCCAGGTGGTCCCTGAATTGACAGTGTAAACTCATTCTCTAACCTGTTTCACATTCTTTATTTCTATTGCTACAAATTGGCCCGCACAACCTCAATTACTCTAGTGAATACCTGGTTTCCTGCTTCCAATCTTAACCTCCTCTGATTTACTTTCCACGTTGCCTGTAATTAGGGAGATAAGAAATGCAAATAGATGATACCCAGTAGCTTCACAAAAAAATGCAAAGTCCTTAGTGCAACACATAAGACCATTCATGATCTGGCCTCTGACCAGTACCCTCATTTCTGCTCACTTTCCACACTCCTCTTGGCCCTATGGAAATATTGGCTCTCTCAGAACACAGTCATGACCCTTTATGTCTCCTTTTTACCAGGTTTCCTTTCTACTTCAACTATTCTATGTGGATTATATTCATATCTATAACAGTTTATCGACATAAAGCTGGAGTGATTACCTTTCTAAAATCCATTTTTTTTCTTTATTTTGACTTAATCAATGTCAAATAGGAATTCCTTCTTTTATCAAGACACAAACAGAATAGAAACATAAGTCCCATTTATGCTTATGCATTACAGCATCTTCTTAATTGGTTCATCATTCACTTTTCTTCTGTGCATTAGAGCAGAATAGTAAGAGGTTGGCCTTGGTATCCCAGCCCTGCCATCTACTACTATGTTGACTTGAGCAGCCTCCTTCCCATTCTTGTTTCACCGTTTCCCCATCTGAAGAGTAGAGTTACTAATGGTTCTTACATCCTAATATTACAGTAGGGTTAAATGACATAATCCACATAAAGGCTTAGAACCACCTGGTGCATGTTAGTGCCCAGTGGATATTAGCTATTGCTGTTATTATTATTTTTATTACATTCATTCATTCATTTATTTATACAGCCTTGGACTGGGGACTTTTCTAGGAATTTTGATACGTTTCTTTTTAGAAGCACAATTATCTTATAAATAAGAAAATTTCAGCCCTAATTACCAGGTGAGGCTGAGAGATTGGGACCTGCTATGCTAGGGTCACCTGCTTTGCTGGGCATGGTAAATACAGAATTCAAGCACAAGAATCCCAAGCCTGCTTCCCTGTCTCTGCATGCTCCTTGTATGCATGAGTTTGTTTGGGCTGCCATAACAGAATACCACAGACTGGTTAGTATAAACAACAGACATTTATTTCTCAGAGTTCCACGGGCTGGAAGTTCAGGATCAAGGTACAGACTGGGTTGATTTCTTCTGAGGCCGCTCTTTTTGGCTTGCAGACAGCCACCTTCTTGCTGCCTCTCCACATGCTCTTTTCTTTTTGCACAGACATCCTAGTGTCTCTTTGTGTGTCT